GGGGGAATGTAAAGGAGAAGCTGGCCCAAGCACCACAGCACCCACAGGGAGGACCTGGAGCCACCTCCAGACCATTAGGATTCACCTTGACCACCTCCCTCTCTTCAAGGCCAGCCAAAAAATAAAGGTGAGGATTTTGGACCATCAAAAGAAAAATGAGGGATCCCCAGGTGGCTCAGCAGTTTAGTGCCTGCCTTCAGCCCGGGGCGTGATCCTGGAGTCCTGGGATCGAGTCCTATGTCGGGCTCCCTGCATGGAGCCTGCTTCTCCGTCTGCCTGTGTCTCTGCCTCTCTCTGTGTTTCTCATGAATAAATAAATAAAATCTTTTTAAAAAATAATAAAATAAAATTGACTGTGGTAATAGCAAATATATATTTGTGAATATATTAAAAACCACTGAAGTATACACTTTAAATGGGTGAATTGCATAGTAAGTGAATTATATCTTAATAAAGCTATTTTAAAAAGTAATCTTTAGGGATCCCTGGGTGGCGCAGTGGTTTAGCGCCTGCCTTTGGCCCCGGGCACAATCCTGGAGACCCGGGATTGAATCCCACGTCAGGCTCCCGGTGCATGGAGCCTGCTTCTCCCTCTGCCTGTGTCTCTGCCTCCCTCTCTCTCTCTCTGTGACTATCATAAATAAAAATTAAAAAAAATAAAATAAAATAAAAAGTAATCTTTAATTCAAGTATGATTGAGTTGAATCTAGTGAATCTGAGACCAGAAAGATTTTTTTCTCTTGTTATAAAGCATATCAGGGTGACAATTAGTGAAATTTAATTAAGGACTGTAGATTAGGTAATGGCATTATATCAATGTTAATTTTCTAAATTTAATCACAGAGCTGTGGTTATATAAGGACATATTCTTTTATCTATCTTATCTTATCTATCTATCTATCTATCTATATCTATCTATCTATCTATCTATCTATTCATGAGAGGCACAGAGAGAGAGAGGCAGAGACACAGGCAGAGGGAGAAGCAGGCTCCATGCAGGGAGCCTGATGTGGGACTCGATCCCAGGTCTTCGGGATCAGGCCCTGGGCTAAAGGCAGTGCTAAATCACTGAGCCACCCGGCTCTCCCATATTCTTTTTTCTTTTCAGAGAGAGGGAGAGAGAGAGACTCTCTAGCAGGCTCTGCACTCAGTGCAGAGCCTGACATGGGGCTTGAGCCTAAAACCTTGAGATCATGACCTGAGCCAAAATCAGGAGTCAGACACCCAACCAAGCTGAGCCACCCAAGCGCCCTGTAAGGACATATTCTTGTTTTTAGGAAATACACTGAAGAATTTAGGGGTGGAGACATTCTCACAAATAGAAAAATATACATATGGAGAGGAGAAAGAGAGTAATGACACAAAAGTGGTAAAACAGTAATATTAGGGAACATATGTGAGGAGTATTCAGGAATTCTTTATATCTTTTTTTTTGCAACTGTTAGTCTATAATTATTTTTATTATTATTATTTTTTTAAGATTTATTTATTCTCGAGAGCCACAGAGAGAGAGAGAGAGAGGCAGAGATACAGGCAGAGGGAGAAGCAGGCTCCTCAAGAGGAGCCTGATTCAGGACTTGATCCCGGTACCCCAGGATCATGCCCTGAGCTGAATGAAGGCAGACACTCAAACACTGAGCCACCCAGGCGTCCCTAAAATTATTTTAAAATAAAAAATTAAAACAACATTTAGATATCATTTATTATTAAATTTCTGGAGAAGTGACATTCAGCAGGATGACAGACTTTCCATCCTGGAACATGGCCCAATTTGTCCATAACTTCGTGGAGAAGGCCCCGGTGCTGCTGTGACTTACTCAGCTTTGGCCACATTCTAGCAGTATGACAAGGTTGAGCTGGTTCTTCCAACTAATCTCTGTTGAGATCCCTACCACTATTCAGAGCTTGAAAAAAATGGTCAAGAGTGCTCAAACTCTTAGCTTCCAATAGCTAACAGTTAAGGAAGCTCTGCTGAATGGTTTGGTGGCCACTGAGGTATGGATGTGGTTTTATGTCATTGAGATCATAGGCAAGTGTGACATCGCTGGTTATGGTGTTTAAAGACCAAGCTTAAACATCTATTTATATTTGATTGGAGTGTTCTTGGACCATGTGTGTTCAGACTGGTATTCGAATAAAATAATGTATCAAAAACAATAAAAATAAAAATAGATTGGTGGAGAAGCAACTGTATTTCTATGAATTTAAGGCTTTGCTGTTGGTATTATTATCACCAAAAAAACTAGAAATATATTTTTAAAGTATAACTAGTCAAAAAATGTTTGTTTAGGCATTTCTACTACTCTGAAAGTTTTCATAATGAAGGTGTGATGTAGTGCAACTGACTCACTGGAGAATAATCTGCATGACCCAATCAAGCTCGGAGAGGTCATCCCAATCAAGAACTAGCCCTGGGAGAGTAGGAAAAGAGCAGTGGCCTCAAAAGCACAGGAACAATCAAGAGTGATTGTTACTACAAGGACCTGGCTGTGCTTCTAAGCTCAGTTGTACCATTATGTGAAAAAAATAAACACTACCAACCATGTACAGTATAATCCTGTTTGAGCTTTAAGAAAAAAGGCTATGATACATATACAGATGTGATGGCTATGGACATACACAGTAAACCACAGACATATGTATAAGAGAATAAAAGGCAGTACAGGACAGTGGTTGAGAACATGGGCTCTGGAATCAGATTGTCTGCACTGAGGGCCAATTGTATACCCAAATGTTAGCAGTGTGACTTTGGGCAACTCATTTAATCTTGCTGTGCGTCAGAGTCTTCACCTGTAAAAATGGGGCACTCATAACAACTTCAATGGATTGTTAGAGATTTAGATGTAAAGTGCTTAGAAAACTGTGCTAGTAGTAGTAAAAATTACTACTACTACTACTGCTATTTATTAAATGATCGACAACAAAATCTACAATCACTGAGAATACACTGATTTTTATTTTTAGTCTGTATGTTCTAAATGTTCTACAACATTATTATCTTTGTATCAGATTTAAAAAGGCAATAATTTTTTTAAATTGGTATAGAACTGTTTGTGCTATATAAATACAAGTATGCCTCACTGATCACTTTCAAATAGGTAGCACATAAAAAGAATCTCTCAAAAAGGAAAAACGATTTAAGTATAATATGTAACTTTAAGCAGAAAAGTCAGGTGTGTCAAACTTAAATTTATTTAGAGTAAGATTCTACAGCATCCTAATCAAACTCCCAGCTGGCATTTTTATAAAAATTAGTAAGTTGATCCTAAAATTCACATGGAAATGCAAAAATAATGACCAAAAGAGTCTTGAAAAAAAAAAAAGAGTAAAGTTGGAAGACTAACACTTACTCATTTTAAAACTTACTACAATGCTACAATAATGAAGACAGTGTAGTACAGACATAAACAAAAACATAAATCAATAATTGAGAACATAATTGAGAGCCTAGAAATAATTCCTTATATTATGGACAACTGATTTTCAACAAGGGTGCCCAGACAATTCACTAGGAAAAGAATAGCCTGCTAGGACAAATGGATATCCACATGAAAAAGAATGAAGATGAGGCCCTTCCTTATACAATACAAAAAATTAACTCAAATGGATTATAGACCTATTTGTAAGAACTTATATAATAAAACCCTTAAAAGACAGGAATAAATCTTCAAGACCTTAGGTTAGGTAAAGCCTTATTAGATATGACACCAACATTATGAATGACAAAAAATAAATCAGATAAATTAGACCTCAACAAATTAAAACCTTTTGTGCTACAAACAACACCATCAAGAAGTGAAAATACCACCACAGAATAGGGAAAAATTTCTGTAAATCACGTTTCTGATAAAGGACTTATATCTAGAATATACAAAAAACTCTTACAACTCAACAATAAAAAGATAACAATTTTAAGATATATAAAAGGTCAGAATAGATGTGTCTCTAAAAAACATCTGGCCATTAGGCATATGCAAAGATGTCAACATCATTACCCATTAGAGAAAAGCAAATCAAAACCATGAGGTATCACTTCCCATCCACTAGGACAGCTATAATCAAAATGATAACAGTAATAAGTGTTGATAAGAATGCAGAGAAATTAAACCCTCATACGTTACTGATGTGAATGGAAAAGGATACAGCTGTTCTGCAAAAGAGTCTGGCTGTTCTTCAAAATGTTAAACATAGACTTTCCACATGATTTAGTAATCCACTCCTATGTACATACCCAAAAAAATGAAAACATATATCCACACAAAAACAAATATGCACAGCAGCATTATTCATAATAGTTAAACAGTGGAAACCACCTAAGTGTCCATCAGCTGATGAAAAGATAAACAAAATGTGATATAGCCACATAATGGAATATTATCTGACCATATAAAACAACGAAGAATGTGAGATATGCTACAACATGGTTGAATCTTGAAAACATTATACTAAGGGCACTTGGGTTGCTCAGTGGTTGTGCATCTGCCTTTGGCTCAGGTCGTGATCCCGGGGTCCTGGGATCAAGTACCATGTCAGGCTCCCTATGGGTAGCCTGCTTCTCCCTCTGCCTATGTCTCTGCCTCTCTCTCTGTGTCTCTCATGAATAAATAAGTAAAATCTTAAAAAAAAAAAAAAGAAAGAAAGAAAGAAAAGAAAACATTATGCTGAGAGAAGCCAATCACAATGTAAATGGGTCACATGTTTTATAGATTCCATTTTAATGAAATGCCCAGAACAGGCAAATCTATAGACACAGAAATATCAGTGGTTGCTTAGGGGTAGAAGGCTTGGAGGACAATGGAGAGTGATGAGCACATGGTTTCTTCTGGGGGTATTAAATGTCCTAACATTGCTTGTGGTAATGGAACTCTGTGAACATCCTAAAAACCACTGAATGGTACACTTTAAACGGATGAAATGTATAGTATATAAATTATATTTCAAAAGTCTGTTAAAAAGAATTCTATAGCATATGTAGCTGACATAGCTAATGGGACACTCACCTCTCTCTGCAATTCATCCTCTTCTTCCAAAAGATCATACACCTGTTCTAAAAGCTGAATTCCCAGGCCCTGGATTACATCAGCTCTCAAGACTTCAACTATTCTTCTGATCTTTTCAGAACCTGGCATGACAGCTAAAAAGCAGTAACAAAGACAGGGAAAAATAAATACTTTCACCACTGCAGGAAGAAGAACATGTTTTGTTTTGTTTTTTTAATCTTGTCATGTGGGGATCCCTGGGTGGCTCAGCAGTTAAGCGCCTGCCTTTGGCCCAGGGCGTGATCCTGGGGTCCCAGGATCGAGTCCCACATCGGGCTCCCTGCATGGAGCCTGCTTCTCCCTCAGCCTGTGTCTCTGCCTCTCTTTCTCTCTCTCTGTGTCTCTCATGAATAAATAAAATCTTAAAAAAAAAAAAATCTTGTCATGTTAAAATTCTTTTCACTTTGACAAGAGTTGGATTTAATACCTTCATGTATTTTTAATGACAAATATATATACATATATATACCATATATATAAACTTATACTTCATTTCTCCTTACAATCTCCTAAACCTAAAATCCACAACTGTCTTATTTCAAGAAAAGCCATATGAAAAAATCCAAACATGCATTTATATTTATTTTAAAAAAAAAACAGTTTTCATGTAATTTTTTAGGAACACAACTGTTGAATAAAACAAGATACGCCTTTTGTGGAGCTATCCAAACAAAATAGTAAAAAAGCAAAAAAATTTTGGGAGAATTTTTTTCTTAGTGTGACACATTTCTCCAATAAGCATGCTCTTCAGTTTGCTGTAAAGAATAAACTGATCACCGGAAGGTAGTTGTTTAAAATGAAGGTCCTCAGCTTCTTCCACAACTTTTCCATGAAGTATCAGCGTATCCCGGTACTTCCGATGAAGTTTAAATTCTGACACTGGATCTGGAACCAGGAGATCTTCACAGCTCTCTTTAGATTCCAGTTTTAGGGTCTGAGTCATCAACTGCACCAAGTCACTCATTTCATTTGTATGACATTTCCTGGGAAAAAAAAAATTCCCCTGTGATTTCATTGGCTTTATGACAATTTTTCATTAAAAAATTAGATGCAAAACATTTAGGAAGTTCTGCTTCTAAATAGCTAAGTAAGTTCTTACTAACAGACCCTTCTGTAAATAATAAGTATAAACTCAACAAAACACAAAAATCCAGTATGTGAAGACAACAGAGAACATACAAAACCTGTAGGCAGGTTCTGGAGGGAAGCCAACATGTTTTAGCCTAAGGGCCAGCCATAGGCTGCTCAAGTACAGCAGAAAACCCATGGTCTTTCTAGCCTGCAAAACCAAAGGACAGAGTTCAAGACAACCACAGCCACTAGAAAGTGAGAGTGAAATCTTAGAAAAGAAAGAAGAAGCCCCAGGTTCTATGTATATATTCTGCCCATTTTTTTAAAAAGATTTTTATTTATTTATTTGAGAGAGAGAGCACAAGCTGGGGGAGTGGCAGAGGGAGAAGCGGACTTCCCGCTGAGCCTGGAGCTTGATGCAGGGCCTGACCCCAGGACCATGGGATCGTGACCTGAGCTGAAGACAGATGCTTAACTGAGCCACCCAGGCACCTTATCTGCCTAACTATTTTTAAGTAAATTACATTCATGTACAAAGTACAAAGAATACTCAAAGCAATACAAAAATTACCAGCCCCAAATGTGATAAAATTGACCATGTCTGGAATCCAATCAAAAATACCAGACATGCAAAGAAGTAGGAAAACAGCAAACATTTGTGAAGAGAAACAAATCAGTTAATAAAAACAGGACCAAAAGTGACACAGGTGATAGAATTTGCAGATAAGGACATTAAAGTGGTTATTATAAATATATTCCACATGTCCAAGTTTAGAAGAATGCATTAACATATTAAGGAGAGGCATGGAAGGGATGCCTGTGTAGCTCAGTGGTTGAGTGTCTGCCTTTGGCTCAGGTGGTGATCCCAGGGTCCAGGTCCCTTCCCGCAGGAAGCTTGCTTCTCCCTCTGCCTATGTCTCTGCCTCTCTGTGTCTGTCATGAATAAATAAATAAAATCTTGATTAAAAAAAAAAGGAGAAGCATGGAAGATATAAAAAGACTTAAATGGAACTCCCAGAAATTAAAAATACAGTGTTAAATGCATGAGATAGGATTAGCAGACTAGATGATGAAGAAAACATTAGTGAACCTAAAGACATGGTAGTAGAATCTATGAAAAATGAAACATAAAAAAGTATAAAAAACAGGAACAACATCAGTGAGCTGTGGGACAACTTTAAACAATCTAATATATATGAAATTAAAATTCTCACGAAGGCAAGAGGGGGGATCCAAAAAATTAGGAAGTAACAGCCAAAATTTTTGCAAATCTGATGAAAACTATAAACCATAGATCTAAGAAGACATTCTATAAGAATTCTGAATGAAATCAGATGTGTTCATTAGAGGAGATAGTTTTTTAGCTCTATCATGTACCAAAACCCATTTATAATATTATCTATAACAGCACTACAGGTCTGAATACTACTACTGTTGTACATTTAGAATTAATTCAAAAAGAAATTGTTTATGAAAGGAGACAGAACCTTACCGTTCCTTGGAATCCCCATCTGATTTATCAGTTGAACTTGTAGAAGAACTTAATTCATCCTCAGACAGACAGCGGATGAGTTTCCTTTCCTTTCATGTGTGGAAAAACAAAATTCCACATGACAACACTCTTAGATGCAACACTCTTAGACACAATGTACAGTTACAATGTGCACCAAGATCTGATTTAACAGAGGAAACTAAGAATCTAAAAATTCAAGTGACTTTACCCAAATGATGTCCCAGTTCACCCATAAAGTTCACAAGTGAACCCTGAAGAACATTAAAACTTGTAAAACTCCCTGGAAAGTCTCAACTATGAAGAAATTTCCTTTCCAGAGGAGAGTAGACAAATAGTTCTGGTACTCCAACTCCTAAACAGAGGGCTAGTAATCTAAGGAATTTTAAGCTAGGTAACATGCCACCTAAATAAAAGCAATTTCAGTTTGCTTATATCTGAGACTGCTTGCTAAAATACTTTAAAGGATAGCTTGATTTAATTACACACAAAAACCTTATTACTCTGGAAAATGAAGAGGAACATCTTGATTAGCAAAACAACTGATTCATAGAATACTGTTAAAGCAACAAATCTTCCTTACTTTCAAGAGCAGGTTCTTTTTTTTTTTTTTTAAAGATTTTATTTATTTATTCATGAGAGACACAGGGGGGGGGGGCAGAGACACAGGCAGAGGGAGAAGCTGGCTCTATGCAGGGAGCCTGATGTGGGACTCAATCCCGGGTCTCCAGGATCACACCCTGGGCTGAAGGCAGGCACTAAACTGCTGAGCCACCCAGGGATCCCCAAAGAGCAGGAAGTTTCTATTTTTTAATATAATTATATGCTCCTAGAAATAATGTCAGAAACTGCAATACAGAAAAGTGGATAACTATTCCCCGGGGTATCATTACACAGAAAATGAACATGAGCTGGAAACCTTGCAACTACTCATTTAGCCACTAGATGCTACCCCTGTATCCTCCCTAGGCGAGAAGCTAAGGAACTCAGACACAAATAGGAAATTGAGCAGAGATAAGGGAGACTAAAATTTGGCCAGGTAGACAGACATATTGGGTACAAAGCAAAATAAGCAAAATGTTACTTTGGAAGTCCTTTGGAAGCCCTTTGGAAGTCCTGTATTAAACACTACCTAAAAAAGACAGTAACTATGCTTAAAAGAGCACCTGAAAAACTCATTCCTTTAATGAATCAAAAATAATCTTTTTTTTAAAGATTTTATGTATTTATTTGAGATAGTGTGTGAGAGAGCACAAGTTGGAGGGAGGGGCGGAAGGAGAGGTAGAAGCAGGCTCCCTGCTGAGCAGGGAGTCTGATGCCAGGACTCTGGGATCATGACCTCAGCTGAAAGCAGATGCTTAACCAACTGAGCTACTCAGACACCCCCAAAATAATCTTTTTAATTATTATTCACCAGTTCTTTTCCTTATCAAGAGTGAAAGGTATAACTTAAGCCAGTGTCATTCCAGAAATCAATGGAGTTGGCATTTATGAGGTTTCCTGTATTAGATTTGCCAGATGTAGACCCATTCCCATTTTCCAGAGGACTCTGTAACGTACCTGAGCAACACTGCAGTCAGAAGACAACCACGGGGCAGGGGTGGGCTGGCCTTCTTCTTGTGAATTCCCCGGGCCTGATGCACTCAGAGATCTCCTCACTGAAGGGCCTGAAAAAGTGACCACCCCCAGCAGTTATTTGTGGTGGGCTGGCCTCAACAGAAGAGGGTGTTACAGCAAGTGCCAGCCTAGAAGTAACAAAGATAGCATCTTCATCATCACTCTGGTGTCTGCCACCTCAGTTCTAGGTCCACCAGCTCGGTGACCCTGGGCAGGTAGGTAACCCCTCCAAGCCTCAGTTTCCTCAGCTGTAAAATGCAGATAATACTGCCTATTTTTGACAGTTACCATAAACAAGAGATGAAATAATGTTCTTAAAATGCTTCCCATAATGCTGAAACACAATCAGCATTCAATAAATAGAAACTGCTAGTACTGTCTCCAGATTATAGTAATAAGAATGATCGCAGCCCTCAGCCCAGGATAGCACCATTCTCCCAGCTTCACCACTCTGTTACTGAGAAGACAGCACTCCATGTCCAGCAAAATCTGAATATGGAAACAGATTAAATCTAAATCTGTTTAGATTTCCTGTCTAAAATCTCCCAGGGGTTAATGCCACTCAAAGCCCTCTTCTCTTTTTAATACCCTCTTCCTGTGATAATACAAGTTCCAGACCCAACAACCTATTCTGATTTTTTTAAAGGTTTAAGAAATTTTTTTATTAAGAAATTTCAAAATATTCTTCCAAATCCGTTTCCCAAATGGATCATTGATGCTGAAAATTCTTCACACCTCACAATCAGAACCAATGCTATCTCCATAAGCTGTATCAACAACCTCCAATCGATAAAGGAAAGAGAAAACTTTACCTGAGGGAAACATCTCTTCCTGTGACTGCTTTAGTCGCCTCCTTTCTCTTGCTGATAATGGTCGGTCCTTTTAAAGAGAGTCAGTTACTTTCACTACTACTCACTATTTTTGTAACAACTGCAACGCATGACTATAGGAAAGGCTCTGCATAGGCCTTTAAAGGAGTATCTGTTTGAAACCAGTCCACATCACGGTTAAAACTACTATCTATGAATGATCACAACTCTCATTTTGGGTAAGTACTCATTTTTGGAAAGACAAATGGAAAATTTTGAATTTTCCTACATTTAGAATCTACTTGTTCTCCTTAATTAAGTAGGAGAAGTGACCATCCCAGGAACTATAGAGTCCATCCATTTCAATAAAAGCTGCTGCTGAGAATCACAAATTTGTCCACTCTGTTGTTTGCTAGGAAGCAGGGTAAGATGTTTTAATACAAAACTTCACATTATATGCAGGATTTTTACAATCAGAAAGTTTTATAAGGTTGGAAAAAAAACAATATACATTCCCACATACCTTTGATGATGACACCTCCTTGCTCCTCAAGGAACTCACAGCAGACCCAATGACCAATCTACTTTGGTTTTCAGCATCTTTTTGTGTTAATGTGACATCCTTTTTTCCAGCGGTGGGAAGAGAAGGTAAAAGTCGAGGAGGAGCCTCCTGGAATTTAAATAAATAAAAGGGGGGAGGTGGAAAATTATCAATTTCATATACAGCCACCTCCAAAGTTCCCCCACCAGTAAGTCTCCTTTGTATTTGTTAATGATCTGCTCTCAAAAACTTCAAAACATTGCACTGTATTGCAAAGAAATTTTGCCAAAAGCGAATTACCATCTAAGAAGCTTACAGAGAGGGTGCTTGTGAAAGTAAATTCAAGAAATGAGGTGTCAACTTGATTTTTTGCAGAAGGGAGAAGCTATTCATCACCATAACACAGAAGGGATCAGAGATTTACTCTTGTTTAGCTTCTTCTCTTAACTCTCAAGATGATCTGTCCATTTTTGCTGGGGAAGATAAAATCTTGACTCTGTTTCCAACTCACTGAGATTTGAAAACTAATATTTAGCATCTCGCCATTGCCACCCCTCTCCATATGTTCCCTGAATTTCTTATGCGCCTTTTTGGCAACTACTAATCAGTCTAAATAAAGTCTATTTCCCCAGCAGCAGCACAATGACTTACCCTACAGAGATCTCTACTGACCTGTCTCTCTTCCCCACTATGCTTAGGCTGTTCTCTTTTCTTCTGTCGTCGCTGTCGAGAAAGGGAGGACTCAGAGCCAAAGCTGTGCGGCTGTAAACCTGAGACGGTTCTGTCTAGTTTTTCTGTAACACATTCATTAGCAACTTGATCCTTAAAAAAAAAATAAAGTGAAACAAACAAGAAAACAGAATAATGAAATAGTCTTTTGAACTTCCAAAAGGCCAAACTATTTTATTTTTTTTTAATTTTTTTTATTTATTTATGATAGTCACAGAGAGAGAGAGAGAGAGAGGCAGAGACATAGGCAGAGGGAGAAGCAGGCTCCATGCACCGGGAGCCCGACGTGGGATTCGATCCGGGGTCTCCAGAATCGTGCCCTGGGCCAAAGGCAGGCGCCAAACCGCTGCGCCACCCAGGGATCCCGCCAAACTATTTTAAAATTATAAATGGAAATGAAAAGGAGGAGCATCTTTTTCAAAATACATGCTCATTTGCACTGCTGACAGGTAAAGATACTATGCTGACATCAGTTACCCACATATTCTAGCTTTTTTTCTCTTTCCCCAAATAAACACAAGTACTTATTTTTTTTTAAGATTTATTTATTTGAGAGAGAGAGTGAAAGAAAGAGAGAGAGAGAATGCAAGCACATGAGTGGGAGGGGCAGAAAATCCCAAGCAGGCTCCATGCTCAGTACAGAGCCTGTGGTGGGGCTCGATATTATGATCCAAGATCTCAACCTGAGCCAAAACCAAGAGTTGAACACTTAACCAACTATACCACCTAGATGCCCCACAATAAAAAACTATTTTAATGAGATTACTCAGATTGTTATTAACCCAAAACTACTGATGTTCAATTTATGTTTTTAAAGGGGTGCTTGGGTGGCTCAGTCAGTTAAGCGGCTGACCCTTGATTTCAGCTCAGGTCATGTTCTCAGAGCCCTGGGATCAAGCCCTGTGCTCTGCACAGATTCTGCTTAAGATTCTCTCTCCCTCTCCTTCCCCAGCTTACATGCTCGCTCTCTCAAATAAATACACAAAATCTTAGAGGGGAAAAAAAAGACCTGAATAGATATTTTTCCAAAGTAGGTATAGAAATGGCCAAAAAGCACATGAAAAGATGCTGAACATCATTAGTCATTAGAGAGATGCAACTCAAAACCACAATAAGATAGCACTTCATATTCACTAGGATAGGCAGAATCAAAAAACCAGAAAATAGCAAATACTGGTGAGGATGTGGAGAAACTGTAACTTTCACATATTGTTGGGAAGTAAAGTAATGTAGTTGCTTTGGAAAACAGTCTTAGAGTTCCTTAAAAAGTTAAACATAGAGTTACCATATGACCCAGTAATTCCAATCACAGGTATATACCCAAGAGAACTGAAAACATATGTTCACACACAAACTTGTAAAAGAATGTTCATACCGATAACAAAAAAGAATGTTAATAATAGCATTATCCACGGTAACCAAAAAGTGAAAACAACTCAAATGTTCAACTGATGAATGGAAAAATAAAATAAAGTGTAGACACAGTGAATTTATTTGGCAATTTAAAAAGGAATGCAGGGGTACTTGGGTGCCTCAGTTGGTTAAGCACAGTTCAGGTCATGATCTCAGGATCCTGGGATTGAGTCCTACATCAGCTCCCAGCTCAGCGGGGAGTCTATTTCTCCCTCTCCTTCTACCCTTCCTCACTGCTCATGCACACACTCTCTCCCCCCTCAGATAAATAAATTCTTTAAAAAAATAAAATTGCTCAAAAAAATTTTTTTAATTTAAAAAATTAAAAGGAAAACCTTGAAAACATCATGCTAAGTAAAAGAAGCCTCCTTGAAAACATCATGCTAAGTAAAAGAAGCCTCCTTCTTTTACTTAGGCCATAAATTGTATGTATGATTCTATTTATAGGCCTATCTCATTTTATTAGGCTCCACTTTATTGTGCTTCACTGATAATTGTGTTTTTTTTACAAATGGAAAGTTTGTGACCCTGGGACGAGCAAATCTATTGGCGTCATTTTTCCAGCAGCATCTGCTCACTTTATGTCTCTGTGTCACATCTTAGTAATTCTCACAATATTTCAAACACTATCAATAGTATTATGTGCATTATGGTGATCTGTAACCAGTGATTTCTGATATTACTATTGTAATTGTTTTGGGGCATCACAAACTGTGCCCATAAGAGATGGAGAATTTAATTGACAAAAGTGTGTGTTCTGACAGCTTTACTGACTGGCTTCCCACCCACCCCCCCATCCCTCTACCTCTCCTTGGGCTTTCTTATAACCTGAGACATGATAATATTAAAAACAGGCCAATTAATAACCTACGATGGCTTCTAAGTGTTTAAATGAAAGGAAGAGTCAACAGATGTGGCAAACTTTACTGTTGTCTTATTGAAAGAAATTGCCACAGCCACCCCAATCTTCAGCAACCACCACGCTGATCAATCAGCAGCCATCAACGCTGAGGCAAGACCTTCCACCAGCAAACAGATTATGACTTGCTGAAAGCTCAATGGTTAGATCATAGTGTAAATGTAACTTTTACATCCACTGGTTAAATTTGACACCCTTTAATGCAATATTCATTCTATTTATGGTGATCTGGAATTAAACTGGCAATATCTCTGAGGTAAGGTATGCCTGTACATGAAATGCTCATTATAGGCAAATCCATACAGACAATGGTTGCCAGGGGCTGGGGCCAGGACAATGACTATTATAAGAAACACACTATTTTTTTTTTGAGGTTATGGAAATGTTCTGGAATTAGACAAGGATGACTGTACAAGTCTACAAATATACTAAAAACCAATGAGTCGGTACTTTAACAATTAGAAAAATAAACAGAAAAAATGAAACAAGTAAACCTGAATATAATTTGAGAGCCAGGCAGAACAAGCAGGACACACACAGATTTATCCATAAAGTACTAAGAATTCCAGTGTCCAAAGAAAGCTTAAGACTTCAATCCAATGACTTTAAATGACAAAAGCATTATACCTGGACTTTCCCATAAGAATAAAAATTTAAAACATTTGAATATAAGTGTATTAGTTTTTATATATCTACATAAAAGATATCAAATATGAAAATATATTTAATATATAAAATTTAAATACTTTAACACAGACTATAAAAATAAGATACATCTTAAATATATTTTTAGAATATCTTCCATATAAAAATCAAAAGTTCACCAAACGTTCTGGCTTTCTCTCTAATCCTCAGCTATTGCCATGCTTCATCTAACTCGGGCTTCTTTCCAAGTTCAAGTAGAAGTTAACCTTTAAATTTACTCAGAATAGTCTCTTAGTATCAAAATCCTTTTGCCACTTTCCTTTTGCCTCTTCCTTCCCCTTTGGTTCACATAAAATACTTTTTTTCTATTCCTTAAGAAATCAGATCAATCACTAACTTGCCAAGCGCAAGAAGAAATGTGATGTTACCTACTTGGTGGAATTCCATACCCATCCATGGTGGAGGCCTAAGAAAGAGTGACAAATAAATGGGAAAAAACATACAAATAGCATGCTTCCACCAAATACCCTATGCCAGGGCATAACGCATCTAAGAATTCTGTGAGTCCTATTCTTTAGTTTCTGTAATGCTTAAGCTGGTACACAGAATAACTGATTTTCCTAAAATGCCAACTAGAACACAACAAACAACACAACTCACATCTTTGTGACTACACTTTCCATTTCTCTCTCTCTCTCTGAAACCAGCACCTCATGCATATCACTCACCTGGTCTTTTGGCTTTTGGTCTTTCTTTAGGGGCTGCAGAGGTCTCGCTGGGTCACTCCTTTCCCCAGTGACATCATTAGAGAACCATGCGGGAATTACGTTTCTGGGTTGAGCGCTGGGCTCAGTGCCATCCTGCAGCTTCTTCACTTGAGAAATACTGCATTTACCTTCTAGCTCATTAGAGGTGTCTAAATGTCTTGGCTGATTCTCCCGAACTAAGCCATCACTCAATGAATCCCTTCTTTCTGAAGGTAGGATGTCAATATTCACTTTACTGATTGTGGCTAGTGATTCTGAGGTATCGCTCACATCTGGTTTGCAGTTGTGGCCTTTCAGGCTTGCTGGTGTCTTCAAGGGGTCAATGACTATGGGTTTCTCCTGGGACAAACATTTGTCTTCACCCTGGTGAAAATAGGCTTCCAACTTATTACAGCATTCCTCATACCACATAAAATAACTCAAAAAAGATACAGCAAGTTCCTTAGAAAGTTAAACATAGATAGAATCACTATATAACCCAGAAATCTCATTTCTAGGTAAATATCCCAAAGAACTGAAAGTAGGGACTCAAACAGATATTTGCTCACCAATGTTTACAGCAGCGTTATTCACACTGGCCAAAAGGTGGAATAACCAACATGTCCATTAGCAGATAAAGAGATAAACAAAATATTATACACACATAACAATGGAATACTACTCAGTCATGAAAAGGAATGAAGTACTGACACATGCTACAATATGGATGAATCGTAAAAACATGATAAATAAAATAAGTCAGACACAAAAGCACAAATATTGTATGATTCTATTCATCTAGAATAGGTAAACTCATAGACACAGAAAGTAGATTAGAGGTCCCAGTGGGCCTGGGAACAGAAGGAATGGGGAACTATTGTTTAATGAGTACAGTTTGCTTGGAGTAATGAAAAGGATTTGGAAGATAGTGGTAATGGTTGCACAATATTGTGAGTGTAGTTAAGGCCACTAAATTGTAGGCTTAGAGGTGTTTCAAAATGGTAAGTTCTGGGATGCCTGGGTGGCAATGGTTAGGTAAGAGTCCAACTCTTGGTTTTGGCTCAGGTTGTGATCTCAAGGTCATGGGATCGAGCCACGCAATGGACTCTGCACTCAGCGTGAAGTCTGCTTGAGATTCTCTCTCCCTCTGCCCCTTCCTGCTCATGTCCTCTCTCTCTCTCTCTCTAATAATCTTTTACAAAAATGGCAAATTCTATGTCATGTTTATTTCACCACAATAAACATAAATTTAAAAATTTAAAAATGAATCAACAACCTAAATATAAGGGGATCCCTGGATGGCTCAGCAGTTTAGCGCCTGCCTTTGGCCCAGGGTGTGACCCTGGAGTCCCGGGATCGAGTCCCGCGTCGGGCTCCCTGCATGGAAGCTGCTTCTCCCTCTGCCTGTATCTCTGCCTCTCTCTCTCTATCATGAATAAATAAATAAAATCTTAAAAAAAAGCTAAATAAAAGAGATAAAATTATAAAACTCCTAAAACACAGGCATACACTGTCATGAGCTTGGATTTAACAAGAAATTCTTAGATATGACACCAAAAGTACAAGCAACATAAGAAAAAACATAAACCAGGCTTCCTCAAAATTAAAAACTTTTGTGTATAAAGGGATATTATCAAGAAAGTGACAGGCCAATCTATAGCATGGGAAGAAATATTTGTAAATCATGTATCTGATAAGGATCCAGTGCCCATAATACAGAAAGAACTCTTAGAACTCAACAACAAAAATACAAAAAACCCAATTAAAAAATGGGCAAACTGCTTACTAGGCATTTCTCAAGAGAAGGAATACAAATGGCCAAGAAGCTTGTGGGAAGATGCTCTGTCATTAGTCATTAGTCATTAGGGAAACGCAACTCAAAACTACACTGAGATACCACTTCACATGCACTAGGACGGTTAGAATCAGAAAAGTAGAAAATCACAAGGGTTAGTGGAGTTGTGGAGAAACTGGAACTCTTGTGCATTGCTGCACACAGTAAAAACGTGCAGTAAAAGTAAAACGCAACCACTATGGAAAGCAGTGTGCTGGTTCCTCAGAAAGTAAATATAGAACTACCATATAGCACAGCAATTGCACTTCTAGTTATATACCCAAAAGAACTGAAAACAGGGACTCAAAGACTTGTACCCAAATGTTCATGCCAACAGCCAAAAGGCAAAAACAATTCAATATCCAACAATGAATGAATGGATAAGCAAACTGTGGTGCATACATACAGTGGAATATTACTCAGACATAAAAATAGAAGGAGTACTGATACATGCTACCTAGAAAACATCACGCTCAGTAAAAGAAGCCAGACACGAGGGGTTACATATTATATGATTTCATTTATATGAAATACTCGGAATAGGCAAATCCATAGAGACAGAATACACACTGGTGGTTTCCAGGGGCCAGATGGAGGAGGGAATAAGGATGATTACTTAATGGGTCTGGGATTTCCTTTTGGGGTGATGTGGTATGTTTTGAAACTAGACAGAGGTGGTGGTTGCACAACACTGTGAATGCACACTAAATGTAATTAATGGTTCACTAGAAAGTGATTATCTTCATGTTATATAACCTGCTTAGATAACTTACTGTTTGTTGGTTTTTAAAGATTTTATTTATTTGAGAGAGCAAGAGAACACAAGCAGGGAGAGCAGCAGAGGGACAGGGAGAAGCAGGCTCCCTGCTGAGCAAGGAGCCCCACTTGGGGCTCAATCCCAGCACCCTGGGATCATGACCTAAGCCGAAGGCAGACACTTACACAGCCGAGTCACCCAGGAGCCCCAATAACCTATTGTTTTAATAGTTTCTAAAATATATACCCTTTAAAAAGAAACATACCATTACATATGTCTTGGAGCCCTCAGAAGACTGTGGCTGGAGGGGAACTACTTTATGACTCGATTCAGCATTTCCAGAGACCACTGTGGCAACAGGCTTTGATTTAGAGTCACTGTTTTTAATATTACTTTTGGATGTTTTTCTTTATGAGGAAGGAAAAAAAATATTATCAGTATAGTGAAGATTAAAGGTTTTTACATATATAAGGAAATATGTGTATGTAGTATAAAAACTGCCCCATTTAGAAGAGTCATCTAAAAACCAGAGGGCATTCAGCAAAATACTTGACCAGTACTCTTCAAAATTAATCAAAGTCATGAAAAACAAAGAAGGTGAGAAACTGTCACAGACACAAGTTGACTAAGGAGACAAGAGGACTCAATGCAATATGGAATCCTGAATTGGATCCTGGAACAGAAAAAGGGTGTTAGTAGAAATACTGGTGTCTATAAATACAAGATTATTCACCATCAGAAATCTATGAGAAACTACCTCATGTATGGAATTTTCAAGTTTCACATGTTCACAAGTTTCACATAACTATACCACAACTGCTTTGCCAAGTTTGAGGGTAAGAAAGACAGGTGTGCTCAGCCTGGCCTTGCAGAATAAAAATGTACAGGATTAATATCTCCGACTCTTTTAAATCTTTTTTTAAAAAAGATTTATGTATGTATGTATGTGTTCTCAGAGAGAGAACACAAACACAAACAGGGGGAGGGGCAGAGGGAGAGAGAAGCAGGCTCCTTGCTGAGTAGGGAGCCTGAAGTGGGACTCGAAACCACGATCCTGAGATTATGACCTGAGCTGAAAGCAGATGCTATCTGACTAAGCCACCCAAGCACCCCTCCCTAACTCTTACAGTGTGACATTTCTACACCTACTAGCTCTCTGGAGAATTTAATGGGAGCACAAGACTAGTGCTGCTGAAGGCCAAAGGTCTGTTTGTATTAAACAGACAATGTAAATAAAATGGTGGTTTTTCTTTATCCCCTGGGGCCTCTCTAGTATTGCTCTCAAAACATGTCACAAGGCAGAGACTGTGACTCTCACATACAACAGACTTCTTAGATAATCTCGTTTTCATGTGGTTTCTTAAACATATATCCTTTTGAAAGAATCATACATGATATATCTTGGAACCCTGAGGAATGTTAAAGTGATTTTCTAAATGATTTTCTAGATTTTTGATTTTAGCAATTAAGTAAATCTCAACATATGCCCTAATCATGCAATTTTCCTTCATGTTTAAAAAAACTCACCACAGGGGTGCCTGGGTGGCTCAGTTGGTTAAGTATCTGACTCGAATTTCAGCTCAGGCTACGGTCTCAGGGTTGTGAGATCAAGCCCCGCGTCAGGCGCTGTACTAGGTGTGGAGCCTGCTTAAGATTCTCTCTCCTCTGCCCCTGCTCCTCCTCCCTTCTCTCTCTCTCTCAAAAATAAATAAATAAATAAATATAACCTCATCATAAATTCTTACATATGAAAATTATAGAAGCTACCTTCTTGTATTCATTTGTTTAGCCACCTATTTGCAAGGGAAGTATCTTACGCCTTTGTGGCCTCCAAAAACAAAGAGATTTGGCGCTTTATATAAGGCTGCCTCAGGATGCTCCTCACAGAGGGTCTTTCTTCAGGCCTCTTGCTCAGCATTGTTCTTATCAGTTCTGCTAGCTCTGGGCTATAATCTTTTGGCATTGGTGGCAGCTACAAAGAGAAATAATATGATTATGACTATGGTCTTACAGAGCAAAGTATAAGGAAAAAGTAAAGATTTCCCAATATTTCTTTAAAGTCATTATCCACAGGGCAACCCTCTCGGGGTCCCCTCCCTCTTCAGGAGCTTTGTACTATCGCTCAACAAACTTTGCTTTGTGGCCCATCAAAAAAAAAAATTTTTTTTTTTAAAGTCATTATCCACAGAAGCAGAAAAGAGCCAGTATACAGGAAGTTTACTAGTGTCCTGGTCATGGCAGCACGTTGTGAGACTATAAAAGTATATTTTTTAAACCAGCAGTCCCATTTGAGGACTCTCTCCCTCAGAAATAAGAACATGAGTTCCTAAAGACTTATGTACCAGGATATTCACTGCAGCATTGTTCTTGCAGCAGTAAACAACTGGAAACTTAAATGTCTATCCAGAACATAGCTTATGGTACACCCTTCTAATAAAATGCTAGGCACTAGCTTCTTAAAATATGAGACTGACCTCAAAAGATGTCCTCATATATTAACTTCAAAGAACAAGTTGTATACCAGTATGTACTGCCTGATTCCATTTCAGTTACTCTTTTAAAAGTGCCTATGTGTATATGTGCATATATACACACAGACTGAGGTATATTTATAGACAGGAAAATGCTAAGAAGGCTGTGCACAAAATTTTTAGGAATGGTGGATTTCCAGAAGATAGAAAAGAATAGAAGGAGAGGGGAATTTCACTCCTTTCTTGTTTGATTCTATAAGTAGTAGAATTAGGGGCACATTTTACTTTTTTTGTGTTTTTCAATATTTTGAAATTAAAATGAAAGTGAGTCGTGGCATACTATTAAAATCAGTAGATGGGGGATCCCTGGGTGGCGCAACAGTTTGGCGCCTGCCTTTGGCCCAGGGCGCGATCCTGGAGACCCGGGATCGAATCCCACGTCGGGCTCCCGGTGCATGGAGCCTGCTTCTGCCTCTGCCTCTCTCTCTTTCTCTCTCTGTGACTATCATAAATAAATAAAAATTTAAAAAAATTTTAAAAAATAAAATAAAATCAGTAGATGGTTTACAGCTTTAAAACTTAATAGTGTGTGGAGGACAGCTAGCCTCATGGAAGTAACATATAAAGGTGGTCACTTTGGTGCCTATGTCGTACACATTGCTTTCTGCAGTTTTTAATTGGCTATTTGTAATTGTGATGACTATCAAAGGAGCAACAGCTCAAGTGAGTAGGCTCATTTTATTTTTGTTTTTTATTATTATTTTACACTGTTGCAAAGTGCCTTACAATCACCAGGTACTAAGCAAGCTGGGAATGGAATGGGTACTCTGCCCAGAGTAGACTAATTTCAGATGGGGCTAATTTAACCATAGCTGCTTAGGAGCTAATAATATCCTCTCAGGGCACCGGCACATCCTGTGGTTACAAGGTGGTAGTTTTCAAAAAGCCAATTCTTCAGAACCATTAAGCCACTTTTACAAATTAATATTAAAATACGATCAACCCCTCCTCTTTCTAGTTCAACTGCCCCATAGAAAGGACCTTCCATTCTTACCTATCCATCCAATATCAATGATTTTATTTTTGCCAATAGCTACTTACAATGCTACATCATATTAATCTAGCTTCTAATATTAAAAACAATCAGTTCCAGAATATTCTTTACCTTTCCTTCAATAATCCGATAAACTAAAGAATTCATGTCTTTTGCATTGAAAGCATGCTTCAGGGTAGCCATTTCATAAACACAGCATCCCAGAGCCCAAACATCCGACTAGAAAAGGAAAATAGTAAATAGTCAAATGTCAGAATACCTTACTGACAAAACAAAATAGAAAATATTTTCCTTAAGCCAATTCACAGAGTATTTCTCTGATTTTCTATCTGATGGGTTCTGAAGTTACAAATTCTGTCCTAGAGAAAAAGTGAGCTGGAATACACAGCCCAATCCTACCTTATAGTTGTAAGGTTTGTTTGAAAACAATTCAGGGCTCATGTAGTAGGGTGTGCCGATGAGAGTGTTAGCCATGTCACCATTGTTCTCTAACACTCGTGCAATTCCTAGGTCACCTACTTTGATGATATTTGTTCTTGTTAGGAAGACATTTTGAGTTTTCAGATCTCGATGAAGGATATGTTTTTCATGTAAATACTGAGGAAAAAATAAAACTTCATTAAATATAAATATACTTATCTACTTACTTATTCCTGACTTCTTACATTCTCATCAACAATTGCAGGAGTTGGGAAGACTGAGTGGCTCAATGGCTGAGCGTCTGCCTTTGGCTCAGAGTGTGATCCTGGAGTCTCAGGGATTGAGTCCCACATTGGGCTCCCCACAAGGAGCCTGCTTCTCTCTCTGCCTATCTCTGCCTCTGTGTCTCTCATAAATAAATAAATAAAATCTTAAAAAAAAAAATTGCAAGAGTTAAAGAGTCTCAGTCACCTAAATAACAAAATGCTACTATCTTATCATCTCTAAATAAAAAGTCTGATTTATAACTTTCCAAAGCAAGAAATTAAGTTCCACACATTAATTTGCCCAGTATCCTTCAAAACTGTCCCCTGGTACTTTGAAAATTTTACCATATAAATTTAGCATTAAATGGATCCAGCTAACAATACGCTTACAAACTCCCACTGAAGGGAGGACAACTCACACAGGGTCAGATGCACATTCCCCTCAGACTCATGAAATCTTTAGCTTAATAATATTCTCAAATATAACAAGATCACTTTTATTTAGACAGAGTATCTTAAAATTTAAACACGGTCAATCTATTCTGGACAAATCTGCCCAGTTCCAGAGTGGTATTTTTTTAAACAGTCTCAAGTTTGAATATGTGTACATTCCAACACAGGCATGTTTTGTGTTTCCACTCTCTCTGCCACAGGAGAGTTAAAGCCCATATCCCCACAATTTAAGCATATTAATTAGCCCAACCACCTAGTGTATGATATAGCTGACCAGCTGATAACAAACATGGTCAATTTTTGCTCTTTGTCGACTCAGGACTCTTAAAATTGATTTTGCTATAAATATTAAATGAACAGAAACTGGCATCCCCTGCAAATTGAAATCCATGTTTACTTCAAAATAGACATCATTTATTCAGAAACACTAATGCTACAGCAAGAGGGGCTGGGTCTACTTCATGAATGGATTTTTTTTTAAACACATTTTTTTTTTCATGTAAGCATTTGAGGAAGCATTTTCCTAAAATTCACCTGCCATCCCCCTGTCACCTTGGAGCAAGTGGAATGCTGTGAGTCTGGACAGTACCTGCAGAGCCATGGCGATCTGAACAAACCATTCCACCACCTGACTCTCAGGCAGAAGCTGCCCCTTCCGTTCTTTGAGCTTTCGGTACAGATCACCTCCTTCGCAGAAGCCCATGACAATGTACAGCAGACCGTCCCCTCCCTCCCACGACTCCTTGTAGGTGACAATATTAGGGTGCTTCAACTGAGACAAAAGCTGAGCTTCCTGTTCAGCAGCTCGCCGCTCTCGGCTGGAGGCATTTCGGAGGTTCAGCTTTTTGATGACATACTATAGAAAAAACACATGATTTTTCAACGTGCAAATAAGCATACAGTTTAAAGGTCCGGAATTTTTAAGGGTTCTCCTGACTATTCTCAAAACCAACCTCCTGGAGCCTGCCAAATAACCTACTCATTTTGTTATTCACAAAACTGGAGAAGAGATTTGCTATAATTTACTGATAGTTTCAACAGGTTAGATTTAGGCTGAAGGGCCACAAACAATTTACTATACTTTCCATCTACAGTAAACAATTCCATTAATGGCTAAAAAATGAGTCCATATTAGCATACAACTGGATCGACCATTAGACCAGTGGTAAAGATTCCTTCAACTCTAAATTCCCCCTACAAAGTTTTAGAATATATGGCTTGAAAATACATCTGCAGACAGAATGGGTCCATAGATTGCATTAGATATTCAAAGGGATCCATGGCCTAATAAGGTTAAAAATCACTGATTGTCAACATTAAAAATTATTCCCACTTCAAAAAAGGTCAATATCCTTTGACACCTAATACACTGCCCACCACCAACTAACAGTCCATACAATTCATTAATCAACAAGCACATATATATAAATGTGCTTTGTAAACTACTGCTCAAATGTGAGGGGCTATTATTACAACCTTGTTACAATTAATACCCCACCATCTACTCAAAAAAAAATCCATCTCATCCCCTTATTGTTACTGAAAAAATCTCTTATTTGACTGAGCTTGTGTTCTAGGCAGAGCTACCTGCACCGAACACCAGGCACAAGAGGCTAGAGGGCCTTATATTTGGAGAAACATCTTTCAGCTTGCCCGGGGCACTGCCACCGACCCCCGGTGTAATTATTAATAGTGCCTCCAGTTTCTAGGGGATCCCTGGGTGGCTCAGGGGTTTAGCGCCACCTTTGGCCCAGGGCCTGATCCTGGAATCCCGGGATTGAGTCCCACGTAGGGATCCCAGCATGGAGCCTGCTTCTCCCTCTGCCTGTGTCTCTGCCTCTCTCTCTCTCTATGTCTATAATCAATCAATCAATCTTTTTTAAAAAAAAAAAATAGTGCCTCCAGTTTCTAAATTGTCCCAGTTTGGATCATAACATTATATGGTCACACTTCTTATAAATCACTTTAAAGAACTGGCTCATTACCCTGAGGGTAATAGGATAAAGTGCTTGGAAGAAAGGAGTGACAACATTAGCTCTAACTTTTAGAAGAATCCATGAGATGGCAATGAAAGTGATGAAGAGCAAGCCATGAGGCAGGAAGGATCCTGGAGGCCAAGTCCTGGATTGGGGTGGTACCAGCGGAGATAAAGAGGCCTGCTGGCTTCTTGGATAGGTGAATGGGGGTGGGGTGGGGGGAGTAGTGTGTGTCAAGAAATGAGCCCGGGGCGTGTCCAGCCTAGGCATGTGGATGGTTGGTGGTGCTAATCACTGAAACGCAGACCCCGAAAGCTTTGGCGGGAAGGTGCTGGGCTGAGGTTTAAGGGAGTCTCCAGGTCAGACGTATACGGGGCCCTTCACACAAAGAGTAATACCTGCCAGGCGCTGGGCTGGGTCGTGGGAACGAACCAGCTCACGGCATCGTCAAGAGTGGGGAGGGTGTGTAGACCAAGCACAACAGCTAATACCGTAAAGGTATCACAGGGAGTTTGGGGCGCGTCTTACAGTAAGGCCTGGCCTACTCTTGGTGGTATGGGGCGGCTTCCCTGAAGAAGTGACACCCGAGGCGTGTCCCCTTCAGGCCAGCCGGGGCCTAGCCTGCGGACGGCGGCCCTCCACCCGCTGCCGGGCCCCAACCCCGCCGACCTGCCTGCCGTCCCGCCGGTGCCTCACGAGCGTCACCTCCCCGTAGCTGCCCCTGCCCACGACTCGCAGGTAGCAGTAGGCGGCCAGGGGCATATTCCCGGCGCCGGCCCAAAGCTGAGATGCGGCGACAGCGGCGGCCAGAGTCGCGGGCCGTGGCGGGACACCCCGCTCATGCCCAAGGGGCCGCGGTGCCGGCCGCCGCTGAGACTGTCGGGCCGCGACCGGAGCGCGGAGGCTGGGCCCACACCAACGCCGCTGCCATAGCGATCCCGGCCACCGCCGTACCGCGCATGCTCCCGCCGCCCGGAAGCACCCGCCACCGAGCCTCGGCGCCGGGCGGCCAGAGGGGTTCCGCCGGCCGGGAGGACCCGCCATAGAGTCCAGGCTCGCCGCGGCCAGAGCGGCCCCGCTGCTCCCGGCGCACGCGCCTTCCGCCTCAGTTCCCCCACCGGGAACTTCCGGTGGCCGGGGACAATGAAATCCCGGAAGCTTGATTCCGCGTATTGATCTAAGCGCTTTGGAAGTATTGGTCATTCATTGTACAAGTCATTTTATTGGCCGAGCGCCTACCGTGTGCCGGGCCGACAACGTCCCTCTCCTCCTGAGTCTCCCGTTCTGATGGAGGGATGACAGACTAGGTTCCACAAGTAACGTCACACAACGGTTAATGTGTGCATCTAGGAATCCAGCTTATTTGCATGCATTTCAAAACAACTCAGCGCTTTAGCGCCTGCCTGCAGCCCGGGGTGTGACCCTGGAGACCGGGGATCGAGTCCCGCGTCGGGCCCCCTGCATGGAGCCTGCTTCTCCCTCTGCCTATGTCTCAGCCTCTGTGTGTGTGTGTGTGTGTGTGTGTGTCTCATGAATAAATAAATAAAATATTAAAAACAAACAAAAACAACTCAAGATATCCGTACCCTTCACCCCTAACCGCTTCAGCTTGCGCATTAAATGCAAAGAACTCTCATCATCATCCCAACAACTCTCATCATCATCCCAACCAAAAACTCTCATCATCATCCCAACCAAAGAACTCTCATCATCATCCCACTCTCATCATCATCCAACCAAGAACTCTCATCATCATCATCCCAACCAAAGAACTCTCATTCATCATCATCCCAACCAAAGAACTCTCATCATCATCCACATCCCAACCACAAGAACTCTCATCATCATCCCAACCAAAGAACTCTCATCATCATCCCAACCACAGAACTCTCATCATCATCCCAAGAACTCTCATCATCATCCAACCCCCTTGCACTGTAACTTGATCAGATTCTGGCACGGTTTTTAACAGCTGAATGTAGTGTCTGTCAGAGGACCCTCCTTAAAAGACCCGTGTGTGAAAGTTCAAAGCTGCCCAAAGAATTTGTTGTTTGATCCAACTGACATTTCCCTGCTCTTTTCTAGAGCATTTGCCTAAGCCCTCCCTTTGTCCCAATCGGATAAATACATGTGTGTCTCCTGTGACACTGGAGCTTCTTTCTCAAGGACTTGGAATCCATCCCCCTTGCAATGGAACATTTTGCTACATCCAAGAACCAATTTTTGCCCAGTTGGGGGCAATATCGCCTCTGTTTGTTGAGAATGGGGAAGGTTAAAGAATAGAAATTCAACCAAGTAAATGTGAAGATCTACATGACTCCATTAAGCCATTTGTGAATAGAGCTGCATCGTATTTAGCAAGTAGAGAGATACTCCAAGGGGTTATTCAAGATGGAAAAGTTTTTACTGGAAGATAGAAGAAGGAAGTGATTACTGAAAGAAAAGAGAGAGAAAAGAAATAGCTTTCAGTTATTCCTGAAAGTTTCAAGCCAGGGCATCCTCTTTTTTGGGGGGCGGGGGTGCGGAGAAAATGGCAGGGATTTTAATTGTACAGATTATCTCACTAGTGCTGATCAGGAAATTTCAGGTTGACCATTAGAAGGTCACATTCTTGGGTTTGGTTGAAACTGTAATAAAGTCTGGGTTTGATGTTTGGGGGGCCTGGGTGAGGGGGCATATGACTCCATCTGGGGCTTGTTGTTTCATTTTTAATAATACTCTTGCCCCCAGAAAGTTAATTCATGCTTTTTCCCAGTTAATCCCCACTTCCTTCTTAGAGACAAGTACATTAGCTCCTTTAATCCTTCTATCCACCCTGTGAGGCTGGTACTATTATCATCCTCATTTTACAGTTAAGAAAATCAAATCTCTGGGAAGTTAAGAAACTCCTGCTAATGGAGAGAACAAATTGGAGTCAACACTGCTAACAGGGTTATTTAAAATGGAGCCAGGAGGACATTGAGGATGTTGAGGAAGTAGAGCCTATGCATGTCTTCTCTCTGAAATTCTCGGAATTTTTGCTAAGTTCCACTAAAAGCCAAGGCATCAGGGATCCCTGGGTGGCGCAGCGGTTTGGCGCCTGCCTTTGGCCCGGGGCGCGATCCTGGAGATCCGGGATCGAATCCCACATCAGGCTCCCGGTGCATGGAGCCTGCTTCTCCCTCTGCCTATGTCTCTGCATCTCTCTCTCTCTCTCTCTCTCTCTCTCTCTCTCTCTGTAACTATCATAAATAAATAAAAAATAAAAAAAAAGCCAAGGCATCTGCTACGTGGTAAAATGGACATGAATGGACTTTCTGCCTAACACTAGCCCTGGCAATCAATCCCATATAGATTAGCGTAACTAAAGCTATATCAGCACCAATAACATTTTGTTCAAAGCAACTTATGTAAATGCTCTCTTTCTTCCTTAAAAACTCTAAACTTCTTTGTCTCTCCAGAGCTTGTTTTTGATTTTGGTGGAATCTGCGTCTCCCGGATTGCATTCCCTAAGACCCCAAATAAATGCACATGTTTATTTTGCAGCTTGCAATTTTGTCTTTCATTGGTCAACACCCAAAACAACATTCTGGAAGGCTTATGGCTTGCTCACTCCTAAAACCCCTGTAGTTACTTGGCTCCAAGTATTGGAAAATTGGGAAAAGTCTCTGTGGTTGAAGTTGAGTGACCCCGGGGAGGCGTGGCCGGGTGAGATGGAGGGGTCAGCAGGAACCAGACTACTCAGGACAGGAAATGTGTAAGACAGGGAAAGGTCTCAAGCAGATCAACATTTTAAAATGATGACTCTGGCTGCTGCCAGAGATTAAACTGTAGGAGTAGAGTGGAAGTACGGGGAGCAACCATGTAGGTGAGAGATGAGGGTGGCTTGGCCTTGGTGGTGACTGGGGATTTGGAGAGAAGTGAATGGATTGAAAAGATGTTTAAGGGAGTCAGAGGTGGAGGGTGAAGGGTGGGGAACCTAGGGGAGGAAGCCACCCAGAATGCCACCCAGCTTTCTGGCTTGGATGTCTAGATGGACAGTGATGGCCTTTACTGGGGTGGACAACAAGAGGGGAAGACCACGGTTGGTGGTGGAGTGTGTGAGGGGGACGGAAAGTCAGGAGTTCAGTTTGGACATAGCAGATTGAGGGGCCATGAACAAATCAAGCAGGCAGTTTGCTATATGGATGGAACTCAGAGCGGGCTATGTCTTATGTGTCATCCGTTTGCACCAACAGCACCAGCCAGGCCCTCAGGCTCAATCTTCAGCAACCTCACCTGCTCTCTGTCCACCCATCCACCACCTTCCACATCCACAGGGAGAGTCAACCTCTCCATCTTTAACATGGGAGCAGTAATGGTATCCATCTCTTGGGGGTAGTTGTGAACAGTACATGAGATAGGACACAAAAGATGTTGAGAAGCTGGCCAGGCACTAGTCACCGTTAGCTTTCCTCAGACCCTCTCTCTTCTCCCCAAGCCACACAAATGTATTTCTCGATCCTTCTATGAACCAAGCTTGGTCCTGGCCATCTCCCAACAGTCCAGTCTTGATCTTATCACACCCCTGCCCAAAAGATCTTTAGTGTTTTCCAAGTGAAAAATTGGCCACTTTCAGACCTCTGTGACAGACTGGTCCCAAAGGACTTCCAGGCCGCCTTCGCCACCCTCTTCATCAACTCCTGCTTCCATCGTGCAGACAACCACGACTTCTCCAAGCATACTTCACACCCACCCATCTGCTTTCTCTCCCTCTCCTTCCTCCTCCCCCTGCCCAAGGGCTGCTCTATTTCCCAGGCCCCTTCTCCAGGAGCCTTCCTCTAAGCCCTACGGGAGTGAGCTCTGCCATTTCCAGATTACTACGGCTCCTTCCTTTTCTTCCTTTTTTTTTTTTTTTTTTTTTTTTTTTTTTTTTTACTACGGCTCCTTCCTTCGGCTCCTTCGCGCTCTTTTAGCTTCTGACACTCACTGGGCTTCCTTTGAGTTCTCGGCTCCTTTTCCCAATGCACCAGGTCGCTAAACACAGCGAGGCACTGAAGTTCATCACTGTGGTGTCCTGGCGCCTGGCACCATGCCCAACCTGCCTCAGGGCTTGGCTGATTCTCGCACAGGGAAATCAACAGAACCTCAAATGCAATGTTGATCCATCTCATCTTCCACAAAGGCCAGAAAAGAGACCAGAAGGTCATTCTGGCTTGGGGAGGATAAACTTTTTCCCAGAAGCTGCCCTGTGAGACAAAGTCCAAGACAAGCAAACAGAGATCAAAGTGGCTCTGGGCCCCCTCACCCTGTCAGGGTCACGGCAGCCAGCACATCCCACCCACAGAGTCGATTGACTGGGGCCATGTCTGCCCTGTGTGCAGTGGCTTGTGGGAAACAGGGAGAGTTTGGGCAGAAAAATTAAGAAATTGAAAATCCAGAAAGGGTCCCTAGGGTTTTCAACTCTGCTTCTCCTTTCTTCCTAATAACGCGGAGGGCATTTCCATCATTACATGATAGGCTTCGGCTTTGGAGTCTGAAAGATCTGGGTTTGAATACCTGTTCTGTCGCCTGCTGTGGGGCAAATGTCCCAGGGACCCCACAAGGAGAAAATCAGACAGCAAAGGGCTTAGATCAATGAGTGGCACCTACTCAGCCATTCATTATGAAAACACAGTATTCGTCTTTGCCTCCCCTTTACCTGCCAGGCATCCCTGCCCAGGTGGAGGAACAATGAGGCTTACTTGTATTCTTTCCAAATCTGGATGAGACGGTCCAGAGGGGTGAAGCAACTGTCTTAAAGCACAGGTGGCCCATTACGTATCCCCAGGACTGCCCACACTGCCTCTGGCAGAGCTACCGCTGGGGTTGGCACCGCCAGAAATGTGGGCGTGGGCAGACACTTGGTAAGCGGCACCATCAGCCCCCCGCCCCCGAGTGGGACTGTGAAAAATTTGCTGATACCGAAGGAATTTTGAAACTAACA